GTCATCTAAAATAAAAAACCAACATTTTCTAACTTCTTTCTACATGTCAGAATTGCATAATCCTACTTTGAAAGTCATAATTTGGAGTTTTGAGGGTAAAACATGACATATTATTAGTATTTTACATAGAAATCTGTATAAATTAATGTCAACCCTGCTTCTAAATTTAAAAATATGTGCTTTCACACAGAAAGTTCATAAAATGACATATTTTGTTGAAATATACCTTTATAAACTTAAAACTGCCTTTCATATGGGTGTAGATGATTTTACACAATCACCTTCAAGGTATCACACCGGTAATTGTTTTCACTATGTAATTCTATATAGAATAAAAAATCATTAAAAATCAGGTATTCGAATTCATGAAAAAATATTTAGCAGGAAGTGTTAAACGTTACCAGTCACATCAGCTGACACCAAAAAATAGGGTACCTACACGGCATTTTCTGATTTTTTCTATCCGCAAACAGGAATACCCTCAAAACCACGTGTATTCAATGTGTTTATAAACATCCTGTGTGCACCCCAGGAAGTGGCCTCCTATGCCCCGAAAGAAATAGTTCCTGTCAAAAACCTTTAATATTTTACAAAGTACATAAAATATCCTAAGCACAGATACCAAAAATGTAAAAATAGAATAAGGGAAATTAAAAAATTTCTCACAATAAAAAAAATATTTCTTTATTATGTATGGAACTACAATTGACTAAGTTCATTTTGATTGGTCAATTACCGGTGTAATACCTTGAACACTCCAACTTTCTGTGTTGTGTTTTTGCCTATAACTTTTGTAAAGTTTACCCTGATTGGTTAAAAGGTGAATAGGAATGCAAGCAGTTATTGATTTACAAGACATTTAAAATCAGAGTACAAATCTAGTTGATAGAATTCTCAATTCAGTTAAACAAGAATGACTGCTCCTCTAATACATTAAAGTTTTCTTCATATTTTTTAAATTATTGTAAAAATTTTGAAGAATCAGACATAAAAATTACATAATTATGCATTATCCCAGACATTTCCCGGCTTTATTGGTGATGACACAACTGGCAAGAATTTGGGATTGTATAGTTTCTGTCAAATTGTCCATCTTTTAGGGTGAAAACATTTGACGTCATACGCCACATGTTCTTGGCGATTCAGCGCGGACTTCAGTGAAAACAGAAAAAAATAATCTAGTTTTGAAATGCATGGATTTAAATAATGCGCGGATCCAGGAGTTTTATCCCGTGTGGTGTCCACATCCACTCAAAAAAGGACTATTACATCTGTACATGCTGTAAAAAAAATTAATCGAGCATCATTACCAAAAAGTCTTAAATATTGATTGAAAATCACAACGCATGTACATGTGCAGTAAAACACGCTTATAATATAATGATCGACGTGCCAGGGACGAATGATTTTGCTTCGTTGTGAGAGTAATTCTTCATATCCGTTGGTTCACAATATACTTTAAAGTCAAAGAGAATGAAAATCACTTCGCTGTAAGGACAATTCATTAAAGTGTGTTTTGTTGTATTCATTTCAATCCTAAACACAGCTCCGCATTATTTTCCTGGGGGTTAAATTTTGGTGTGTAATTTGCAATGAACGTTCCTTGCAATTTTTTTATACAATCTACCATTTAATTATATTTTCAAAGGAAATTTGTTCCTTTACTCCTTTCTTCAGATTTTCGCCCTATTTATGATAATTAAGGTAAAGGTCTAGTAAAATGAAAGCTACGGTGCCTATACAGGTTTCTCAAATTAGAAAACTGAATTCCTTTAATGATCGATTCTTCATAACTATTGCTTTGGAAAATAAGGTGTATCATATCATAATATTTTGAGGTTACCACCAAGAAAGAAATTATTCTAAACTGTCATTTTCAATAACAAGAGGCCCAAGGGCCTTAACAGTTACCTGAGTATAATACAACAATTTCGAAGTTAAATACACTGATAGATGAAGCAATCTGCCCTAAAGCAAGAGAAGTAGGAAGATCAGGATCAACAAAATAATAAGTCTAGCATTCAGTATCAACTCATAAATTAAGTTCTAATCTGTCCCCCACTTAACACTATCACCATGCAGACTATTGACAAACTATTAGTGCTTCTGTACTATTTTTAAACCCATATTAAGACCTCTAGCATTGACCTCTCTTATGGTCTTTGAAGAACTTTTAATAAGATAAGTTATTTTTGTCTCATTTTTATTTATCTATTACTTACAGGTCTACCTGATTATTAAAACTAAGAAAGTACTTTTTTAATTATACGATAAACATTCTTGCATAATTATCTTATTCTATTAACCTTTCAAATACATTATTTACAGTGATTAATTATCAAAGGTGAATGGAAAAGGGGAATAACTTCTCTCAGTAGGATACAAATTAATAGAGCCCTGCCCAGGACCAGAATGCTTAGACGAATGGTCCAGATGTTTAAAAATCTGGTAGAAATACACTTATTCATATCATTTAAACTTTTACTCAGTTTGCTTCCGATATGCCTAGAAGCAGAGAAGAATTTCACAGGTACAATGCATTTTCACTACAGATTCAACAAAGCCTTACCCTAACACCAGAACCCAAGACCAAGGGTCAAGAAATTTACAAATTTGGAAGAGTTACCCTCATCATCATAACTATGGACTCCAAAGAAATAACACTTTTCCACTATATTATCAAAAGCCCCCCCCCCCCCCCTCGTTATGCCAGAACCCCTGACCCTAGGACCACAAGATTTAAAAATTCTGTTCAAAGCTCCCATTTTCATCATAGCTAAGCAATTTATTTATCAGCTCAACACTAAGGAGCAGACAGGATTAATTAATGATTAATTAATAGAATTAATGCTTTTTCACTATATAATCAATAGAGCCCCCCCCCCCCCCCTCCTCAAGAACCCCCAAAAACTGAGACCATATATTTAAAAATTTTAGAAGAGGAATCCTTGTCTATCATAATCATGCACTTAGTTTGTTTAAATAATCTCCAGTAGCAGAGAAGAAGATTTTCAAAGAATCAATGCATTTTCTATATATAATCAATAGAGCCCCGCCCTAACACCAGAACCCCTGACCCTGGGGCCATGAAATTCACAATTTTTGAAAAGGCATCCTTATGCATCATAACCATGCACTTAGTTTGTTTAAATAGTCTCCAGTAGCAGAGAAGAAGATTTTCAAAGAATCGATGCATTTTCACTATATAATCAATAGAGCCCCACCCTAACACCAGAAACCCTGACCCTGGGGCCATGAATTTCACAATTTTGGAAGAGGCATTCTCGCTCATCATAACTATGTACTTAGTAACTTTATTTAATACCCAGGAGCAGAGAAGAAGATTTTCAAAGAATTAATGCATTTTCACTATATAATCTATAGAGCCCCGCCCTAACACCAGAACCCCTGACCCTGGTGCCATGAATTTCACAATTTTGGAAGAGGCACTCTTGTTCATCATAACTATGTACTTAGTAACTTTATTTAATACCCAGGAGCAGAGAAGAAGATTTTCAAAGAAATAATGCACTTTCACTATATGATCTATATAGCCCCACCCTGGGGCCAGAACCCCTAACCCTGGGGCCATGAATTTCACAATTTTGGTAGAGGGCTCAATGCTTATTACAATGATGCCAACAGTTTGACTGCTTGATGTCCAGGAGTAAAGAAGAAGATTTTTAAAGATTGCATTATTTTGGGTGGTTTTAGCCCCACCCCTCAGGCCCCAGGGGGGCAGGGACCATGAAATTCACAATTTTTGTTCCCCTTTACCTATAGATGCTATATACCAAATTTGGTTGAAATTGGTTGAGCGGTTCTAGAGAAGAAGTTAAAAATGTTCAAAAGTTAACGCACGACGGACGAAAACAGATAGCAATAGGTCACCTGAGTGACTCAGGTGACCTAAAAATAGAGATATAAATATGGAATTCAGTTGGTAAAATGAAAGTACTATCTTATGATTTCAATGACGTAAATTAAAGGGAATTTCAGGAAGATGGCTTGCTACATTTCATTTTCTGGGATTCAACTGGACATTAATATATTTCCTCAGAACCGGCTACACATATGCCCGTTGCGATTGTAATTCAACGAGATAAAACTTCATTGCAACATTTTTAAAGGCAGTATAATAAATATAAGTTACGATTCGCTTGTCTTAAAAAAAAAAATGATTGAAAATTCTGTTCAAAATTAATTTAAATCATTTGAAAATTAAAATTAATCTGTCTTCTTGATTAATCATTTATGCTCTTTTAGCGAATAGTTATGTGGATTGAAAATCAATTTTATATTAATATCCAGTGTTTTCATGGACGTCCGCGCTGAATAATTCAATACAAGAGAGGCAAATCAAATGCCCTGAATATATTGAATAAAGAACACAAGTACAAGTTCCCTATACAGAAATATCTCTTCCTCTAGATAACAGAAAGATATATATATATATTTGATGTTTTTTTTTTAATTCTGACTTTCCATGTTAAATGCATACACATTATCTATAAAACGTGATGGATTCTAAGCACTACAAAAATGTATAACATCAATACACGCCTATTTTATACTCATATGTGTACACATGTACTATATAAAATAATTTAGAATAGAAGTATACATAAGAATTTTGTATACAACATATAAATTCAATAAATTAGAAAAAAAATATAAATGAGGTATAAAACTTTGAACAGATTGCACATAATGAAATAAAAATGGTAGGCCAATGCAAAAGCAGACCTATATTTAACCAATCAGATTCCAGCATTGAGTCATGTGACCCATTATTAAGTAAAAAGATTATGTTCACAACTGTATGATAATAAACATGTCAACAAATTCTAGCAAAATCAAATACTAAAATGTACAGCATTGTTTGGGTACTTACCATTTGAATGAACTGAACTGTCACCTGACAGTATGATTATTTTAAAACTATTTAGAATGAGTCTTGTAAACACAGCAAACACAGAATATAATTATGATTAGTTTAAAAAACAAATGACATTATAATGATACAATTTTCATAATGTAAAATAAATGCACAATATTAAATGATGCATGAATTGACATCTTTTACAACTCAAAAAATAAATCATAATTAATGCTTTAATTTCAACTTGAATGAAAATATACATATTTCACCATTCTTAATATTCATTTTCATAATATTCCATTGTTCTCCTAAAAACTCAATGTGTTCAATACCTCTGCTTCAGAATATATTTTAGCAAAATTATAATGAAGATATGAGAATCAATGAAAAAAATAAGTTAAAATACTGACTAGACAGGAGTGTCTTAGAACGATATGTCTGAAAATGAAGAGATCATAATATCTTTGCATATAATAAATATAAAATAATTTACTGTTTATAAACATTTCGGGTACATCAGCATAAACACAAACTTTACATGGGTACATGTATTTTTTCAGTATGCAAAAAGATTACTGAGCAGATTTTAAAATGATATTTTCTGTTACTTTGAAAATGTCTTAATGCAGTTTTACAAATATATTAAAAAATGCTTATTAGAAAAATAGCAGATCATGTTGAAAGGGATCAATAATTTTGACACTTAGTCATCTCTAATACTATTTCATTTCCCATAATTATTTCATAATAAACATCAACCAACAAAAAAATCTCGAGTCTGGTTCCAAACATACATTATTTCAGAAGCCATTACTTATACAGGAAGTATACATCTATAAACCTGGTATAATAAATAAGCATAATAAACACACTCAAACGATTTCATAGGAGAAGACGTTCTTTTTATATTATTGGTCATATAATAAAACTGTGCAATGGTGCAACAATTGCACACATGTAATTTGCACATTACTGTTAGAAAAATTGAATTCTTTGCCCAGTTTAGTTTATAATTTAGATGATCATGATTGTTTAATATTTTCAGCAACAAAAATAATTTGCTGTACAATTCCCAATGCCAACTAACAATCGAACAAAATTCAGCTAATAAGCATTAAAAACAGAATATTATTGGAAAAAAACACAAATAGTATTTTATCTCCTTGTTTTAGTTTTTCCAGTCCACTGGAAGCCCTATAAACAGAAAGCAGCTAAAAATATGTTCTTCTAGAGTCTGTTCTCTACAATGTGGCTCTCTCTCTCACTCTCTCTATTCACTTGACATATACAAAATAATATATAGCTTTTATAAACATTTCAAACTTTTTTCCCTGTTATAACAACTGTATTTAAATAAAGAATACAGGTTTAGATCAAATAATTCTACCCCATCATGTCACAATATGACTTATTCATGTCTCATCTTCAAATGGAGTACAAAATTTCATATCTATTCTGCTATTAGGTATTACACTTTTCTATAATTCTTTGCAATACACATTTTTGGCCAGAGCAAAGTAGAAATAAATACTACAACTTTGGGATTATTTGGATTATGTACTTTCTTCTCAAAAGTCAGTGTAAAATCCTAAACAAACAATTATATCAGTGCAACAACTACAGTACTTCTTCCTGTACAAAATACTTAATTTGATCTACTTAAGCTACTTGGAAAATGGGCATGATGTATCTGTGGCAAAATCTTTTGGCTCTGATTTGACAATAGGAAGTTGAGGGGGTGGGCTACCAAGGGAGTGGGTGGCCTTAAAAGCTTGATTGACAGGTGTGTCAGTCCCATGTGAAGGAGGCAAGTCCTGTATAATATCAGGAATGTGTATAGGACTCTGGCTTGGGGGAAGAGGAACTTCATCGGGAATACTCCCATGATGCATTTGTGCATTCCCATAATGCCCTTGAGGCTGAGACAGTCCATTTCCCTGAGAATAGCTTTGACTGCCATAGAAACTGTTGGGAACACCTTGAATACAGTTACTATTAGACTGAATGGGTGATTGGGACAAACTTAAAGTGTTTCCAGTACAATTAGGAGAGGCATTACTATTGAGTCCTTGACTAAGATTTTCCAGCATCTGCAATGGATTGCTTGATTGTGTCTGAGCATCATTTCCTTGAAGCATTGAATTATTGTAAGCTGGAATGTTGGAAGACCAGTCATGTGGTTCTTGTTTGACCTGTACTTGTCCTGTCCAAGATGAAGACATTGACATAGCATACTGACCACTCATTTGAAAGTTTTGACCTCCTTGATGAAAGGTCATTTGTGACGACATTGCCATGGCCTGTGTGAAGGTCTGATTAGGGTGGAAGCCCTGCTGTCTGTAAGCTTCTGACTGGAAGTTCCCCTGGAATCCAGGGCCCTGTTGATTGTTTGATGCTAACACTCCTTGTTGAGACATTTGCTGCGGAGAGTAATTTCCTTGAGGGAACTGGTTATTGTACATCTGATGTGTGGACATGTTGGGACCTGTGAAGTTATTCTGAGCACAACCAGACATATGTCCACCATATTCCTGTGGAGAAAATCCTGGCTCTTGCTTGATGCCCATGAAATTTGGATTGCTAGGGTGACAAATATTTTGTCTGTTTGGTTGAGGGAAGTTTCTCTGGTCCATTTGTTGAGGGGACATCATGGTCCCTGGTTGGTCACTAAACAGAGGAGGGCTGCTCTTGGAATCTTCATCTGCCTGTTCCTTCTTGGGTTCTTTCTTCACAACCTTGAGTTCAACATCAGGAAAACAAACTTCGGAGTCATCTAGTTTCTCTAGATCTCCACGTAAATAGTCGCGAAGTTTCTTTAAAGCTGTGTAGAACGGAACTTTGTCAATGGCCCTTGGAAGTTGTGAACATCTTGCGGAAGAGGACGGCATCACATAGACAAGCTGGAAAAGAAATAAAACAATGACTGAAAACATTCTGCATGTTTCATTATTATAAATGAATACAAGAAGTAATGCTCTTTTTCTTCATGTTCTATAGCATATATAGGGCGATGCAATTTCATATATACAGTAGAGCTTTGGCATCTTGAACACTGATATCTGAAGTACCATAGATATTCCGAAGTGATTTGGAAGTCCCAAACACTTATTCTTTAAATATTTAACCCTCAATATCTCGAATTCTCGGATATCTAACTTTTTTCTCAGTCCCAATGAGTTCGAGATAACGAGGTTTGACTGAAAAAGTTTTACACTAATGATAAACTATTGGATATGCAATGAGAACAGTTCCTAACAGGCAACAGATGGACATAGGGTCACGTAAACTTTCTCTTACATATAAAATAGCGATATTGTTAAGCACTTACGGTTTCAGTTCCTGAAAAAGCCTCTGGTTGCTTCCCAAAGGCAAAGTTCTTATGGCCAACAAAAACTTCATAAATACCTAAAACAAAATATAAGCCATATATATATGAGATTTATAATTTTTGTTCAATGACATTCCAAGGCAGTTAAATTTCATTTACAAGAAATTTATGTGGGGAAAAAAATCCTTAAATGGCAGTCGCCTAACTGTTCATGTTTTCCCATGAATTTTCTATGAAGAGACAACTTAAGTGAATTTCATGCAGAAATTTTCAAGATAATATCATGGGTAACTCTTTTCATGTGAAATTCCCATAAAGCAAACTTAGCTGTGTAAAGCATTGCTAATTTTGTGACTTCAATTTTTTTCCCCAATGCCACTGCCTCTTGTTCAAGTATTCAATCTCCCCTTCTACTAAAATGCTGCTTCCCTTAATAAATTAATTCAGACTTACCTTTGCCATTAAATACTGCAATCTTTGGTTTGTATTTCTTAATTTTCTCTTGTAATATAAGAGCTCCTTCTTTTATTTCTTTCCTGAAATCAATCACAATTTGTTTTGAAAAGAGAACAGATAACTGAGAGAAAACTTTTATTAGATTTTACATTGCATTGTACTCAAAATACATTTAGATACATGTATTGACATCTTTACTTGTGCACAGAAAATATCGGAATCTGACACACTCCACTGCTCAAACAAAAAAAAAAAAATATAATATTATCTGATCATCATTTTTACTTATAAACATATTGTAAATTAAAGTGGTTTAATAATGGAATTTAAGCTGGGGGGTTAAGCATGTTTTTAACAGGCAAACATTACTCGTAAAAAGGGGGCAGGGGGAATGGTCTGACATGAATTTTATGCTCCTGAATGACATGCAAATGCTTGGATATTTTTATACCATGTGTGGCAGCTTTACACTTAACACCTAAGGAATGTACATGTATATTTTCCCAATGCCTAAATAACCAGTTAATAGAACATTTTGAAAAGAAAAGCAACAGAAAACAAAGGTTTCAAAATATACATATACCTAATTCACCTTACATACAGCAGGTTATCTCTATTTATGCCTTACTTAAGTTTGTAATTTAAATCATCGTATATCAAATATATCTGTTTATGGTTCTAAGTTACCTTGTCAGATCAGCACTTCCTCTAGTTGTCCTGGCAACAATGTTAGTAAACCCAATCCCATACTTCACGAGTTTATAGTCATCGTAGGCATTCAGCTGTTCTGGGATTAATCCCGATAGGAACAAGCACTTCCCTGAAAAGGAAAAACATAGGTAATCAAAGATTACGAAGCTTACCTCGACGAAGGTTATCTATTAGTAAGGCAAATCTCACATCATATTTTTTTTCTAGTTAGGGTACATCCCAAGATCAATATCCATACAAGTTTGGTTTAAGAAGGACTTATAGTTACTTGGAAATAGACCTGCTCAAAAAACTTTTAACCTGTTTACTAATCAAGAAAATTTTGGTCAGTTCCAACATCCAAAGCAAGTCTTGAAGTTTTCATCCTTAGATGCACCATCCATGCAAGTTTAATCATAACATGCCGTAATATTATATAGCTACTCAAAAAACATTACCCTGGTCACTCATCTGGAAAATGTAGGTCAGATTCAGAATCCGAAACAAGTCTGAAAGTGTCCATTCTAAGATACATCATCCATGCTAATCTGATTAAAATATGGCTAAAATTCACTCATCTGGAAAATCTAGGTCAGATTCAGCATCCGAAGCAAGTGTGGTAGTGTCCATTCCTAGATGCATCATCCATGCAAGTTTGGTCCAGGTAGGGCTTAAAGTTATTTGGTAACAGACCTACTCCAAAAACTTTAACCTGGTCAATCATCTGGAAAATCTAAGTCAGATCCAGCATCCGAAGCAAGTGTGGTAGTGTCCATCCATAGATGCATCATCCATGCAAGTTTGGTTCAGGTAAGGGCTAACAGTTACTTGGGAATGGACCTGCTCCAAAAACTTTCACCTGGTCACTCATCTGGAAAATCTAGGTCAGATCCAGCATCCGAAGCAAGTGTGGTAGTGTCCATCCCTAGATGCATCATCCATGCAAGTTTGGTCCAGGTAGGGCTTATAGTTACTTGGGAATGGACTTGCTCCTAAAACTTTAACCGGGACGCTGACGCTAACGCCGACGCCAATGCCGGGAGTATAACATAAGCTCACCTCAACTTCGTCGAGATGAGCAAAAAAGGATTGTTTATTGTGTACATTCTTTGGGAAGAATTGTAGGAATTCTGGAATTATTTTACTTGTTTAATTCATTTAATTGTGAAAAAATCCTTTTATTTTATTTCAGTGTTTCCCTCTACATATTTAAATTACTGAATGTAAAAACATCTTGCTTTAAGAACCCTCTCTACACTGCAAACTAAAGAGTTCTGATTCTATGGTATTTTTCTGCAGTTAGAGTGATCTGCCCTTAGATCTAAATTCCAATAAATTGAAATGTACAGTATATTACTTAATTTGTAACCAGTTCAAGCATTCATAACATTTTAAATAGCCAAGATAAATTAATTGAACACTTTATTTGCATGTATTTTCTCCATGGAAGTAAACAATAGTGATTTATGTTCATTGATACTTGATTGTCTTTGAACATTTTTCCTGGAGGTAAATGCCACATACCATATATTGAAAATTAAATTGATAAGCTTAATATTTACAACTTTATTCAAAATAATTTTCTCAATGTCCAAAAAACATTTTGCACTGGTGTATAGAGGGTCCTTAATGCTGTTTTTAATTGATTCCTCTCTTGATTAAAGATGGTTATTTATTTTTTTCCCTAAATGATACTACTATTAGTGATAAAGTAATTTAAGTTTAGAAAATTGTGGAAACATCTTTAACTACTAAATCTCCACATATGTTTGTCTACGTTGAGTTTTTGGAAAGCACATACAGAAATGGTTTCCAGGTCCGGCATAGTGATGTCCCACATAGGCAGCACATAATCCTGGGTTAATACCAACCTAAATAGCAAAAAAAATATGGCATAATTAATAAATTCATGATTACTAACTCTTTTAAATTTATCTACAATATAATGTCATTGTTTATAGTTGAATTTGTTCATTACATATCTTGTCACCATAATCACTGTTTAATAGTATGATGTTGAATGAGTTTAATGGACAAAGATCTATTTTGAAGATCTAAAGAGACAACCTTTGTAAAGTATAACAGATTATACATCTATTAAATCTTGACAATTTAAATAGTATATTGTGTTTATTTTCAATCTAATTATAATAAGTGAAAAAATCTTTGATATTAATTATTTTGAGTAGAACTGATTTGCCAGTTTTCAAACCATTTACCACAACAATAACATGTACATGTAGTACACTGTCTTGCGATAAATTCAGGTGTGGAGAAATGTCTAAAGTTACAATTAAACCCCCCCAAAAATAAATAAAATAACAATAATAACAATACACCAGGGAAAAACAAGCAAGATATTTCATTGTTCTTGGAACCTTCACCTCCCCCCATTTTGGTAAAAGGGGAAAATATTTTTATTCATCTTCCTTTACTACATGTATTTTGTGCAAATGAATTGACAGATAACTCTTTCACTCTTCTTTTTGTCTGTGCATTTTGCACTGTCAAAATATATATCGGAAAAATTGAATTTTGCTTACAATATTTTCTATCCTTTTTAATATTTTTTAAAGAGAGTTAACTCCATATTTCATAAAAATCTAAATTTTCATGACTGTGTTTCTTAATAAAAAAAAAAGATTAATTTTAAGCATGACAAAAATTTGAATTTTTTACTAGTAATTATTATTTTCATAAGTGATGGCTCTCAGTCTTGTCCATTTACTGCTTATAGAGGACATTATCAAGAAACATTGAATGAAAAATGAAACTTTATGCAACTAAACTTATTCATTTTACTTATATCAACATATATTTTGTTGTTATTTTCATGGTTTTTGAAAAAAGTTCATTTGTAGCATCTGTCCTTAAACAATTATTTAACATGTTAAATAAATTTCCAAATAAAATAAATCTCTGGGCCTCATTTCTTGTTTTTCACTAATGAATACATTTTGGAACATTTTGTCTTGTTGGAAATCAAGGGTTAGAGCATAAACTTGAATTACATTGTACCTAATGATACTATTTTTGTTTTGAATATTAGCTACCCCTTTTTGCAATATTTTAAATGCTTGGGGTGCTCAATGGGTAGAATATGGTATGATTTTCCTGGTTTCTTACAAAGTGCCTACATTTTCTGGCCTTTTACAACTAAATGAGTATTTCAAGATTTTTAGATTTCTTACAATGAGTATGTCTATATTTTCTGGTGTCTTATAAGACGTCTACTCTCTTACTACAAGTACGTCTCAATTTTCTGGTTTTCACAATGAGTATGTCTCAAGTTTCTAGTTTCTTACAATGAGTATTCTATATTGTCTGATTTCTTATGATGATTATTATGTCAATATTTTTTAGTTTCTTACAATGAGTATGTCCAGATTTTCCTGTAAGTGGTCTGGTAGCTCCCTTTTCATAACTTCGTCCTCACTCATTCCATTAAATCTGTCTCTTTTCTTCTTTTTCGTAGGCATGTGGTCTGTTATTTTGTCCTGACTTTCTTCCTTTTTCTTTCTTCCTCTCTTTTTCTTTTGCACACTACATAAAATATAATATATAATTCATAAATATACATGAATATTTACTTTTTCCCTTTAGTATAAAATGTATAAGTGGTACAGAAATATTTTAAAAGAGTTTTTTTTTAATTTTTATTTTAATTATTGTTTATGAAAAATAATTGTCAATTGCAATTTTGTTGTATTATTTAAGCAGATGTTAACATCATTTGGCATGAATATTTAAAAAATGTATACTTTCTGTGTGCTTTGCTTGTCATAAGAACAATGATAGTTGCATAGATATCTTTATGATCAATCTGTACAAAAATTGCTCTACATTAGTCATTAATTCTTCAGTGCCTGCATAGATACTGTACAGTCATGTAGTTTTCTTTAAAACAAATATTTATAGAGTGACAATTAATGGCTTTATTATAATGATCTCTGAAAAATCATTTTAATACAACTTCTTTATTTCCAAAACAAACCTCTCCACTGGCTCTTGTTTAATTAATCCAGGATCTGGAACATTGAACCCTGGGGGGTACATCATGGGGCCTCCAGGCCTGTGTAAAACATAAATACACACATGTTTAGATCCTGTAATAAAATGCCATCACACATATGTACATGCTGTGAACAAGGCATTGTGGATAAGTGTCTCATTTGTAACTAAGTGATAAAACATCCTTACAACATATGTGTAACAGTACTGTTAACTAATGATAAGCCATGAGTAAGATTATATCTGCATTTCTGTGGTATTTATAGTGCATATAAATGCAGCTGAGTTGAGAAACTGACAGTAAGAAAAGTTTTAAAAATTTTGAGGTTGAAAGACCAAAATAAGACAATTGGGGTTAACTGATGATAAATAAAATGCTAGTATAGTGAGTATACTTTGTTTATTGTAATGCAATCAGTGATTTTTCTACACCAATTTTAGGTCCGAATATCGGCCCTTTCCCCTATCAAAAATTACCGATTTTTTCCCAATTTCATTTGCTTTTTTCCCACAATAAAACCGTTCTTGTTTTTGTTATATTGAATTTTTTTTATGTTGGACTTATCTAAAATAGAACACTATTGTTCTCGGTCAATAATAGTGAAGAACAGCTGATTATTTTGTGCATTTACAAGACATATTTTATCTATTTTATTTTACCTGTCAATTAAGGTTAATTTCAATCTTATTAATTTTTCCCAATTTGACACAAATGTCGATAATTTTTCCCAATTGTAAAGGCCCAGGCCCCTTTCAAAAAGTGTAGAAAAATCACTGGCAATATACCGATTTAGTAAGTTTTATTCACTTTTTTAAGATATTATATGGTGTACATGAATAAAAATTAGATTTCATAATTGCCTTGTTGTCAAAAAAGAAATAATTACTGTGGAATGATTATCTACATGTATTTAGACTTAAATTTTATTAAAGCTGTGCTAAATTTAAACAAAAACTTTCAGTTTTGACAATGTATGAACTTTTCATCAATACAACCCTATCTGTTAAACCTAATATAGCTTAAGTTCACTGATCAAATGAATAAAGAACATTTTCAATACTTTTGAAGCTAGTATATCCTGCTTACAAAAAATATATCTTGTCTTTTAACAGCACTGAATTTATCACATACATTGAACTTATTTCCCTCAGATTTGAATATTTATAAATGCCCCACATTTTCTAAACGAAAAATTTTTTTTTAAAACTAGAATTTTCCTTGTAATTAAAATCATTCCATTCAACAATAATCATTACACCAGGCAGTGATTTACATATCACTATGAGCTTGGTAGTATGGATGATTGTTTGAATTATAATTTATACTGTACTGTACAAGTTCAGCCTTGTTCAAGTTTTAAAATGGGTAATTATAGTTATAATACATGTACTTTGAAAGACAAAGAGTGGATAAAGATCAAGATTAAGGAAAAGGCTGGAATTAATTAAGCTTATCTTCATGAGATCCAGATATAGAAATCCCAGTGAGAGCCATGGAGATTCAAGTTGCCATCATGATCATTGAATAATCACTGTTTATACAGAATTTATCATTGTATTTATAACAAAGAGACTGATTTAAGACACAAACTTACATATGGCCAGGGTTGGGTGGAAATGCAGGGGATTCCATCATAAACAGATCTGCATTGTTCATTGCTGTGCACCACTCACTGTGTAAAATTCACAAAATAATACACAATCTGTACATTATTCATTTGCCCATATCTTCGTATGTTAAAAGTAAATTCTCTTATCATCTTATCATAAATAGTTCAATGATCTACCATTGAGCACGACAGCAACACGTTCATTTAAGTTAAAGATACATTAGGCATCGGAGTTAGGCCTTCTGACAATTTGTTATACACAATATCCCCCCTTCCTGGAAATGTGTGTGAGAATCTTAATCACTCCATTAATTGGAGCACGTTTGCAATATTTTTGCGCCCATCAATTAACAATCCTATGGCTGTATGTAAAATCACCTAATAAATATCAAAATAATCTATAATAATATGGTCCATTTACAAAAATTGAGTGTAAACATTACCTGCAGGTGCTCGACTCGGTGAAGCTTTGTTCTTCGTCTCTTCTTTCATCTGATTGGTTGAATAGGGTCAAAGGTGAATTATTGGCCAATGGCTAACAAGTTAAGTTGTCTAAAAATATTGTAGGGAGAGTCCGTAAAGAGTTGTCTTTCCTAATCCCTTTTTTCTTACACATTTTTTGATTGGATAAAGTATTTAAGAACTGACCTTTCAAAAATCGGCTTATGAAATAAAATAAAATACAAAATGGCTGCGCCCTTGGAAAAGGAATGATCATGATGACAGTTACACAGCAAAGAACGAAAACATGAAAAAATATCCCTCAGATACAATCTTCATCAATCGAATAATTCAAAAATTTAAAGTCACAAGTAATAAACTAGGAGATAAGAAATACTGGATCATTTCCTTTCTGGCAGGGGCTGCGTTAGAGTTTTGCATGGTGAAACTGGATGTAAACGGTCATAGTTATTGTAGGTATATTTCAGATTTGTGAAACAATTTGTACCAAAGGTATTTTGCGTTATGTTAAAAGCTAAAATCTTGCATACACTGGTTTTATTTTTACAAATTCAGCATAAAAGACCGAAAGTACATATGTAAGAGTATTGGAACATGTTGAAGGTGTTACCGTTGGGGTGAGCACCTGGAGCACAGTTGTGTATTAATAATCAGTGATTTTAGGGCTGATTTGGGCCCGAATTTCGGCCCCAGTCTCATTAAAAAATAGACCTGTATTTTCCCAAAATATAGTGGAAGTTTTCCCAAAGAAAAACTTACTTTCTTTGGTCATTGGGCTTTACAGGGACAGCCGAGTGTCTGGTTGAAGAAGACTACTGGTCACCCAATATTATTTAAAGTTTGACAAATGTTTACAAACATAACGTTTTGGCACGAAAATACAGATAAAATTATGATACTTATTTTTGAAATACTATTTTCACATTTGAACACAGCCACAGTTCATAAATCTTTTACCACACCTCTAATTGCTAGAACTAGAACATATCGATTAAAGTTTCCTGCAGAGTCTGGTCGGAGTTTAAAGAGACAGCCGAGTGTCTGGTTAAGGAGACTGTCTGTGTATCTGAAAGCAGTGTCCCAAATAATGTAACAAATTTGACACAAAGTGAAAAATGTTACAGATATTGTCCACTGAATTGCAACAAAAACAATCATGAAAAGTTTGATTATTTGCTTGACAATCATTAAAACATTGTTAGTTATTAAACAAGAGCATCAGATAATTATTAAGTAACTTATGAAACAAATAGAAATGAATAGCAATTTAGATAGACATAACAAAAATTCCTTTACAGTGAATTCTAGGATCATACATCAAAATAATATTTGTCACTGTTTAGATATTTGTTACACTTTTGGACATTTTGTCATTGTTTGGATATTTGAGTAATTGTTACATTATTTCGATATTTGGTTAATTGTTACACTGTTTGAATATGTGTTACACTGTTTCCAGCGAATATTTTGCTCAATTGCAGATAAAACTTACACAAGAAGAGAGGCATTGAAAGAAGCTCAGAAACGATTCATAGAAGAACTAGAGCGTAAAGAAGTGGATGAATTACTAAAAAGTACCCCCAAAGAGGCCCTGGATTCAGTGACAATTTGAGGTATGTCTCCTTAATTTCAGTTCAATGGAAAATCAAATAAATAGGGGTGTTTATTATGCATATAATTACAATGTGTATGTTCAGTTTAATACTGTAAAGGTAATTGAGTTCTGAAATTCATTTTTCATAAAGGTGCAGTCAGGAATAACACAAATATTTTTTTCTAATACTTTGAAAAGTGTAATGTACATGTTATTTGCTGTTCAAGGACTAAAAGAATTTAGGCAATCATTAAATGTCCATCATCTATCCATCTGTCTGTCTGTCTATATGCTTTTTTTTTTTTTTTTTTTTTTTAATTTTTATTTTTTCATCTTAATACAAACATACTGCATTACTTAATTATTTTTCTTTTTTACACACCATTCGCTCTCACTTTCTCACTCACACATATTCATTTTCAATTGGTATGTGGAAGCATACTTGTTCTTATATCTAACAAAATGAT